CTGAGCTCTGGGAGATGTGGGGGTACTGTCCCACCTCTGGAGCAGCTGTTTCCCAGCCTTGTGCCCTGATTGGCTGATTGGCACAGGCAACTGGGAAACAGCTGCATGGGAGGGAACATTTTTCCAGCCCCCTGCCCCAGTTGGCTGATGGGGACACAGGGATGGGAAACAGCTGTGATGAAATGGACATTTTCCCAGCCTCCTGCTCCAGTCAGCTGATCCAAGCACAAACCTGAGAAACAGCTGGTATAAAGGGGACAGGTTCCCCACCCCTGCTGCTTCAGCTGACTGGGAGCAATTTGCTCCCTGTCAGATGTCTACACGAGCAGTACTGTGCAGTAGCTAATGCATAGTTAATCTACTACCTGTATTTACTGCATTAGCCTAGTTTACTGCACAGTAGCTGCTGTACATGGTTACATAGTGACTCCTTACTGAACAGTAGCTTAATCTACTGCACAGTAAAGCATCTCATGTAGACACACCCAGTATGATGCAGCTGTGAAGCAGACATATGCAATCTCAGCATGTATCAAGAGAAGAATTTCCAATAGAAATTGGGAAGTTTTAGTGCCATTGTCCAAGCACTGATGAGGCCTCATCTGGAATCCTGTGGTCCCATGGTCAGGACACAGGAACTCAGTCTGGACTGAGTCTGGAACAGCCTCCCAATGGGAGTAGTAGGGGCATAACACCAAACTACTTTTAAGATGAAGGCTGATAAGTTTACGGGGTGGCCATCTGCAATAGCAGAAGATTGGGCTCAGAGATCAAGGAAGTCCACTCTTATTTCGCAGTCCGGCATTGACGTCAGTGTGAATAAACAGCTACAATTTATGAAATATGTTGTTAACCATGGAGACCATAAAGTTCCTCATCAATAAAGTCCTGCCAATGGCACAGCATGGAATAGAAGCCGATATTGCCCAGGTGAGGAGGCAGAAGGTAGAGGAAAAATGATAGTCTGGGGCTCTGCAGGGCCCACCAACTTCAATGGCATTTCTCCCAGTGCAGAGTGAATGACCTGCAGATGGCAGAATATAGCCCACTAGGTGACAAGTAGCTTGCCTTCAAGCTGCTTGGCTGGAAATTAAATAGAAAGATGCAACATTCCCCGGTGCAGGTTTTACAACACAATCATCAATGGGAATTCTGGAACATCTAGCCAGCACCTAGGATGGTCCGTAATGGGAATGGTGGGGAAGGCACGATCTGCAGCACTTGAAAGCCAAGGACACAGTGCAGGAATCTGGGAATTTTGTTCCCCTCACCCTGGGCCCCTCAGCTGTCTGAGAGCTTTATTCCTTGCTGAGGCCCCAGCCCCAGGGGTTTGCCAAAGGCAAAGATTAGGTGATGGGACCCAGAAACTGGAAGCACAGCAGCATCCAAGGCAAGGGTTCCTGCCTGCTTTGAGATCCTAGCACTCATCATGAGGCCAAGGGTCCACGTGTTGTCTGCTGGGTGAGGGGTAAAATATACATAGACCCAGTGAATAGACAGGAGATCAGAAATGCATTTGCTGCTCAGAGGAGTCTGCATAGTTCATCACCTCCCTCCAATGAAGCCAGCCTAGACAGGCTGCAGGGGGAATATTGCAGATAAGATAAACCACGGGACAAACCTGGATCCTTGTATCCTAACTCTCCTTTTCTGAGGATCAGTGGATAAAATGTGACCTAAATTCAACCCACCCTTTTTGTGAACCTGAAACCCCATGAATTTAAGAGGAGAAAGGCCCTTTGAGATCATCCAACCTGAATGATACAGGTCAGAAAATGTCACTCAATGGCTGGCATATCAAGCATTTGCTTGAGTTAGAACCCATTGTTAAAAAGATACTGGTCTTGATTTAGAGACAGCAGGTGGCAGAGAAGCTACCACAGCCCTGTGTAAGCTGATCTACTGCCAATTTTAGGTGCAGTACTACAGAAAAGACATAGGAAAAATGGGCCTTTTACAGAAATCAATATCACATAATAGATTAACCTAGTTCACTCTTAAAATAAATGTTTCACTTCCCCTTTTCCCACCCAAGAATAGATTTAATTTTAAGCCAATTTCTCTGAATGAAAACCTGTTACTCAAAGATTTTCCTTTCCCCATGACTCCAGTGAGAAATTGGCCAATCATAGAAATAGCTGGAACCCAGGTCTCTGGCCTTCTAGCCTTGTGTGACATTCGCCATCACAGACAGGGCAACTTGTATTATGCAGAATACAAATGCCCTGAAACAGCTCTTGGTACATTTCCTTTTTCCTCTCTCTTTATCTTCCGTGATGTTGAAATCGAATGTGCAGTGTAAGACCCAGATCACCATCCCATCTGTTGTCACATGCACTATTTTGAGGTTTCCTGTGGTGTCCCCACTAGAGGTTGGCTTTTTGCAATCAGCAAACTGCAACATGACATCAGTTCATGGAATTTCTAGTTTCCCCAAACCACCCCTCCTTTCTACCCCAAAGTCCTTTATAAGAGAGGAGAGAACCCAGTAGTGCAGCAACAGGAGAAGGGATTCGAAGAGGCCCTCATCTGCTCCTGCTCCTGCTCCTGCTGATCCTCCACATCTGATTGCAACATGAAGGTTACTGTGGCTGCCCTTGCTGTTGTTCTCATTGCTGCCTTCTGTTCCCAGGCCTCCTCTTCTCCAAGTAAGTTTTGTTATTTTCTTCATGGGTCCATTTTCTCCCTAGCTACATCCTGGTAGTGAAGGAAGAACCAAATTAGCTCCGTCCTGTGCAGCCGTGGGACCTCAGATCCACGTACATTTCTGCAGTGTTTCTGACTGATTCGACCTGGCTCTGTCACCACTGCAAAAGTAAAAGCCCTAGGCGGATGAAAGCTACACTCAGCAGCTAATGCAGGCATGGACCTTGCTGAGGGCTTCCAAGGCCTGTGAGTGCTGACCCCCAGCCACTCCGATTTGGCAGCTGACTACTGAGCCAAGGTGACACCACTCTGTGCTCTCACTCCTGAGAGAGAAAAATTCACTTAAACCCTGTAATACCCCCTGGCTATTGCCAGATTCCTCCATGAGACTATCCCTTCACAATGAGCAGAGGACTTTGGGGGCTTTCCCTCACCCATACTTAAGCCCAGACTCAAGTTTTCTATTTCTGACTCTTTCAGTTGGTTCGGATCCCCCGACTGCCTGCTGCTTCACATTCACAGCCCGCCAGATCCCACGCAACTTTGTGAAGGACTACTATTACACCAACAGCATGTGCTCCCAGCCTGCCATTGTGTAAGTGCACCTGTTTGACTCTTAAAGCAGCCAGCTGAGATGTTGAGGCACCTTCTGTTTAACTCTCCTCTATAAACACAGTATAATGCAGAGAGAGAGGTTAGATCAACAGCCCCTGGAGAAAGATCAGCAAAAGATCTGACAATCACTGGTGACTGGAGATCCCAGTGAATCAGCCCAAACACTGAGAGCAGAGTATGTGTATCCTGGAGAAGAGTCCGTGGAGAAGGGATTGATTCCTGGTTTCCTGGGACTGGAAAGCCTCTTTCATGAATTATCAATGGGCCTGCTTGCCCCGTGGGGTCTTGGGGTGAGGAAGGGCAGTAAGTCAGGCTGGGAGAAAGATCCCAGGATACTGTCATATGTGGCAACTAAGTGTGAGGGTCTTGCCAGGAAGCATATTGTGAGAACTGCTAAAGGGAGAATCTTCTGGGCAGAGAGCGAGCAGGGCAGGCCTGACCAGCTGGGAGCTTAGAGCCCTTAGGAGTAAGGTAGTGCTAATGTCTCTATTTCATGCTCCACAGATTTATCACAAGGAAAGGCCGTGAAATCTGTGCCGATACTAAGGAACCATGGGTCCAAAAGTATGTGAATGACCTGGAACTGAACTGAGCAGAGATACAGAAACACTGAAGATCAAGATTCTGGAGACTGAGACCATCCTGGAAATGAAAGGGTTTCATTTCTACATCAGTGCGAAGACATCATTTCCAAGCAAATAAGCAAAGATTTTAATAGGAGCTAAATATAAAAAAACCCAAACAAAAAACAAAACAAAAGATAAATTTGAGAATCTGTGACTATAATTTAAAACTATTTAAGATACTTGGGTTGGTAGAAAATATATTTTACTACTAATTATATTATTTATAGAATGTCTGTGAGGTCCTGTGGAGTCTGGTCATTGACCAGCCCCATTCAGAACCCAAAGGCAAAAGATTATTTAATATATTTAATTGAGTCCCAAAATATGACTATTTGCAATGTAATGTTGAAGTGTAATCTGAGTGTCTTGGACAGATCATGGAATAATGTTTACAGGGAATAAATATTTTTTACATAAAACTGTTTTGGCTTTGGTATAAATTATGTTGCTTTTTCATGAGTAAAATAATCAACCACTCGCTGTCCAACTTTCTCAGTGCAGTTCACTTTCATGTGCAGTGCACATACCTGTGCACATACCTCTCCATACTCATACACAACTTCAGAGCACTGCAGCATAAGTACCAAGTTGTTCCTGCATGCACAGCCACACAGAAACACATCTACACACACACATACTAATGTACACCTCACTGATGTACCTACAGTATCCCTGCAGAGCAATAAATATGGACACAGCTATATAAACTCATCACAAACCAGCACCCCGCCCCATCACACCCGTATCTATCAGATCTTCCATACACCCATTCGCCCACAAAGGGCACAGACAGAAGGGACAATTTTCACCTGATCTGGCCCCAGAAAGTTGTTTACAGCTGTGACAAAACAGAAGTGAACGGCTGCAGACTACTTTAAAAGGGCCCAGTACCATGAAAATCTGAACCCTCATTGCATGAAGGTTCAGATGAACGCTCTCCACAATGGAGTGCATTCTATAACTTGTGTTTACGGAGCTCCTAGCCTGTCACTGTTTTCAGAATGGGAGGGGGAAAGGGAACAGAGGGAGTTTGGTCTGGGGATTTTTCAGCCAGCACTGGAGGGTGTGTGGGCATATAGGAGCCCCTCCCTGCCCCCCCCCAGAGGTAGGGGCAGGAACTCCAATCCACCCCCGCCCCACCCTCCAGCACCAGTTGGGGAACCCCAAGAACAGGATCTCTCTGCTCCCTTTCCCCTGTCCCATTCTGAAAACAATGTCTGGGCTAGGAGTGGGGAGTGGCACTGCTATGGAGGCTGGGCTGCATGCTGGCAGCAAGCTGCTGGGATCCCCAACTCCTGAACCCAACAGTGAACTGCTGTTAGGTCCAGGGGCTTATTGCAACTCATAGTGCTTCCTGAAAAGCACTGTGAGTTGCAACAGGGAGCTGCTCTTCTCTCTGCGCCCAAAAATGCATTCACCAAACCTGTCACACTCCCCTTTCATGCTTCAAGACATCCTCAGAGAGACATGCAGTTGGCACACAGCTACTCAGATGCATCTCTATATACATATATCCACCCCATCTACATTTCTACCTGCAGTCATATATATACATATGCAGCATAGAAAACAGGAGATGGGATAAACCTCATAGGTCAGGCATGAAGTCTGTTTCTTGGGATCACTACCAGATTATCTCCTGTTGTTCATCCCCTGGAATTTGTCCAATGCACATTGAAATGCTCCACATGCTGAGGCTCCCTTTACTGTTCCAGGACCTTGAATCTAGCAGAGTTTTATGGTGATGTTACAATATAATACTGCTTTTTGTTAGCTTTGGCAGATATGGAGAACCAACAGCCTGTGCATCCTCTGCAGGGCATTCTCTGGGAGAAGATGTTAGGTAACCTTATCAGAATGCAGAGGAGGATCCTACTCCCTGCATCAGACCTCAGTGAGCAAATGATTTAAGAGGAAATAAGACTATCTTTTGCTGGAGGAAGCATGGATAGATTTGCACCCATCCTGACCACTGAGGTCCCTCCAGACTATGGCAGCATGGCTGCTAGGTGCAGCTGCATGGAGCTGATGTACACACACACTGTCAGGCCAACAGTGACAGTTCCAACAGAGGCAAGTGTGTATAGCCCAAACCTGACAACATCCAGCCCCAGCTATGTTTGAGGAAAGTAGAAAAAACAATGGTTGACCTGCCCTCACAGTAATTTACTGTGCAGTAAACCCACCCTGGACAAGCATCTAAATGTGCAGCCATTTGGGAGAAGATTTGCTCCTCATGGCACTGGCATGCTGCCAGCCTCCTCTAGCCCTGTGCCACCCTGCTGCAGCAGCCAGGTGGAACTCGAGGCTCTGGCCACAGCTCCCTTTGGCCAGAGACCCTCTTTAAAAGTCAGCCCCACATGGTGCTCCTTAGCCACCTGCATTCCTGGCCTCGAGCAAACTTCAGCATGCCAGAGCCTATGCCCACTGCATGATGGCTGCTCCACCCCCAGGCCCCAGGAGGGACAAGCTATGCCCCAGGTTCCTGCTGGCCATGCTGCTCACCATGCTTCACAACCCTGGTGACTGCCACCTGGTCCAGGTCGGTCTTGGCCCTGCCTGCCCCCTGTGCTGTGCAGCCATATGGCCAGGCTCATCACTATGTCTGAGGCTGCCTGTCCCTGTGCTAAAGCTACCCAGACCCTATTCTGCTGCCCAGACCCCGGCAGGCATACCAACTGATGCCGTCCATGAGCTCCTGAGGCTTCAGCCCAACCACCTATGGGCCTTCCTGGCCAGCCAGGACTGGTGGCTGCACCACCACCAATCACCCCACCCACCACCAATACACCACCCTCTTTCCCATGGAAACTATGTACAGTGCTCTGTAGGCCTTCCTGGGGTGGGGGAAGTGGGATGTGGGCACCTCCGAGATGGAGCCCAGGGACAGGTGCCCAGCACCCTGGCCTCTGGCTGCACTGCCGCAGATGCAGGGAGGGGAGGGGGATGTCCTCCCACAAGGGTGGGGTTTACCAGGTGGACATGGCAGGTGTGCCCGGTGGCCTGAGTGTGTCCCTACTGGGGGTGACAACGTGCAGCTCCTGGTGGTGTCATGGGTGCAGGGGTGAGACACCTGCCTGGCTGGGCAGGGCCCCCCTACAGGGAGGAGCTGGAGCTCATGAGGCTGGCAGTGTCATGGCTGGGCTGGCTTCCCGGGCAGGGCTGCACACCAAGAGTTTGCGGGGCGGGTGCTGGCCCAGGCTGCTGGAGCAGGTGGACAACGATGGGGGCAGGGACCATGACGGAACAGGCTCCTGGTATTACAAGGGGCCCTCCCCTGCTGACAGCTCACCGCTGCTGCCAGGCCACAGTGACAGCAGGCCCCCCATGCTGGAGAACACAGTGAGGTTCTTCCCAGGGTCCCAGTGCATGAGACTATGGCCCTGCAGGCTGCAGGCTGCCCCACTCCGGTTCTGGCAGTTGTGACACAGGTGACGCTGATCAACTGTGTCTGCAGGGCCTTGATCTTTATGCATGCTTGACCACTGGCATGCTGACCAGTCATGCTTCCACTCCCACATGCGGCCCACCAGGCCCTCATAGACGTGGGAGTTGGAGTGCCCACCCCAGGTGAACTGGCTCTGGACCTCAGCCTCACTTCACATTACTAAAGGTCTGCGGTCTCATCCTGGGACCAGTTATGCCTCCAGGAGGCAGTGTGTGGCATTGCGGAAGACACTAGTGTGGTTCTCTTGGCAACCCTAAAAGGCTGCATGGATCAGAGTCTGGGTCTGCCAGGTCTGGGCAGGTGCCTGCAGTGCACAGCATTGGGGCACAGCACAGTACTGGCATGTAGGCAATAGGGCTGAGCCAGGGGCCAAAGTTGGGGTCTGGGCATGCTGCTGTGGCTGCCCTGGGGCCACTGCTATGGGACACAGTGGTCAGAGGCAGGCTGCAGGTGGCACAGGCCCCTGGGGTCACTGCAGAATTTTAAAGGCCAGGCTGGAGCAGGCAAAAATCATCCCAGCCTCAGGGCTGGAGAAGCTCAAAGCTCTGTGGCCCCAGGGCTAGCCCAAGTGTGGCTTCCTGGTTGTGGGCTGACCGGAAGCAAATTTGCTCCCAGTTGGCATCTGCACATGTACTACTATGCAGTTAATATGGCACAGTTAATTTGCTACCAGCATTTGTAGGTAGCAAATTAACCCTACAGTAGACTAATCCCCTAATTTGTCATCCTAATTATACCACATTTTACAAAGTAGTCCCTTTGATCTGCTTGAAGCTTCCAACTTCACTATCTGAGCCTCTAAGCTTTTCACTATGAATCTTTCCTTTCCTATGTGCCCCCCAGTTGCCAAAGTATTTCACCCTTTTCAACCTGTTTTCCCTTCCATCAGACTTGGCAGGCAGTGCCACCATAGTTTCATAGTTTCATAGTCGGTAGGTTCAGAAGAGACCTAGTATTTCACCCTTTTCACCCTGTTTTCCCTTCCATCAGACTTGGCAGGCAGTGCCACCATAGTTTCATAGTTTCATAGTCGGTAGGTTCAGAAGAGACCTAAGCAGATCATCAAGTCCGACCCCCTTCCATGGGCAGGAAGGGATGCTGGGGTCAAATGACCCTGACTAGGTGGCTGTCTAGCTTCCTTTTGAAGACCCCCAGGGTAGGGGCAAGCACCACTTCCCTTGGAAGTTGGTTCCAGCTCCTAGCTGCCCTAACTGTGAAGTAGTGCCTCCTGATATCTAGCCTGAATCTACTCTCAGTGAACTCATGGTCATTGTTCCTTGTTACCCCTGGTAGTGCTCAGAAGAACAAGGACTCTGCCATTGCCTGCCGGCCCCCCTTGGCAATTTTATAGGTGGCCACCAGATCCCCTCTCAGCCTTCTTTTGTGCAGGCTGAACAGGTTCAGGTCCCATAGCCTCTCCTCATAGGGCCTGCCTTGCTGCCCCCGATCATGTGAGTGGCCCTCGTCTGGACCCTCTCAATGCTGTGCACATCCTTCCTGAAACGCGGTGCCCAGAACTGGACGCAGTACTCCAACTGTGGCCTGACCAACGTTGCATAGAGGGGGAGGATGCATGACAAGGTACGGTTAGCTTTCCTGACCACGTCCCCACATTGGCGGCCCATGTTCAGCTTGGAATCAATAGTGACACCAAGATCCTTTTCTGCCTCTGTGCTGACAAGAAGGGAGTTCCCCAGCCTGTAGGTATGCTGCTTGTTCTTCCTCCCCAGGTGCAGTACCTTGCACTTGCCCATATTGAAACCCATCCTATTCTCATCTGCCCATCTCTGTAAACTGTCCAGATCTAGTTGTAGCCTGTGTCACAACCCAATTAACTTGTGCCCATGCCACTGAGCAAGAGATACCATTCAAATCATCTTCATTTAACTATTAAGGGTTAAAAGACTTCCCTGCCAAGAAATTCCTTGAAACAAAACGCTGGTGGTGTACTACA